TTGGGTGGTGTGTGTGATGATGTGTTTTGTATTTTCTCTAGTGTGAATTTACTTCCAGTTTTTAGAATATTAATCTGATTCCAAGAAAGGTGAAAGGTATAGTTGAGCTTTTTGTCTAGCACGCTCCTTACGATGGTCTCCCTTATGCTGGAGGCAAGGTTATTTCTCTCCAAATAGGAGAAGAAGTTATTGAGGTTGTTCTGGGTGTTGCTTTTCATGTTGTTGATAGATAGGGATGCAGTTGTATAGGGATGTAAAGAGGAGCTGGAGTTGGTTGTGGCATGTTTAAATCCAATAAAGGCGGTGTCCACTTGTGAAGAGTTGTTGTCGGTGTTTGGGTTTTGCAAAGGTACAATCCAAAACTTGGGAGTGTCAGTTAGGAGAGGAATAGAGACATGTTTTGCTGGTTCAGTGATAAGAATATTGTTTGTGTTTGTTTCCTTGTAAACTACGGAGAATAGTTGTTCGCTTGGGTTTGAAATTACAATGTCCAAGAGGGTATGAGAAGTGTTTGGGGGTTTGCCCTTGGGAGCAGGGCTCCCAAGAGCGCCTGCTGTTTTTTTTCTCCTTTGAATTTTGCCTGTTACTATAAAAGGAAATTTTTTGGAAAAAAAAGATTTGCGGGAGAGAGTTTTTTTTTATCGCGGCTTATAAATTTTTTGTTTTTATAAATTAATTAAAATAAATAATTTTGATAAATTTATATATTCTATGATTATAATAAAAAAATAATTTTTATAATATTAATTATTTTAAAGTTACAAGTAATCAGATATTATAATTAATATAAAAAAAATTATTTATTTTATTATTAAAAATAATTAAAAGATTTATTTGATAAAAAAATTCTTAAAAAATACTAATTCTTGAATATTAAATCTTTATTAAAAGAATTTTATATCAAAATTTATATCTTTATTTTAAATTCTTCTTATTTTTAAAAACTTATATTTTTAAATTAATATTAAAATTTATTTTATTATACTATTTATAAAAGAAAATATATATTATTTGTATTAAAATATTATTTTAAAAAAAGAATTTGATTTTGTAAAAATTAAGTTTTATATTTAAAAAATTATCTGTTATCTATTGCTTTTTAATAGTAATATCTATTTTTTGAAGAATAATAATATAAAGTATTAAAAAAAAATATTGTTATATTATTTGAAAAAAAATGTTATATTTTAAATATTTGTCTTTAAAAAAAATTTATATAAAAAAAATAATATAAAAAGCTTTGTTAACTAATATATATTTTGAATTTCTTGTATTTATATTTGATTAATTTTTTAATATAGTTTGTAAGATTGATTTTGTAATTTCAATTAGTGTTATACTAAATTATTTATTAGTTCTAAATATTAAAAAATTTTATATTTTATTGGATTAAAAATTATATTGCTAGATATTGTATTTGTACAAAAAAAAATTTATTATTTTGTTAAAAAAATAAACAATTTAATATTAAACTAAAAAGTATTTAAATTTTTATTAATCTTTATTTGATTGATTTATACAGTATATTAAGATAACTTTAATAATTTGTTTGTTTTTTTTTATAATTAAATTATAATTTTATAATAATTTTAATATATTTAGAGGTTTTATGATTTTATTTTTTTATTTTTTAAAAATAGCAATTTAAACTTTATTTTATTTTAACTATTGTTTAATATTATAATTTTTTAAACTTTTTACAAAAACTTTGTTATAAACTGTATACTTCATATTATATCATATTAATTAGTTATTGAATTATATGTTAAAATAAAATTTTATGCTTCGTTACAAAAAAGAAAGGGGTTAAAATAAAAGTAAAAAAATTTGCACTAGATTTAAATCTGAATTTATATAATTTCAATTTATTTTTTTGAAATCTTAACACAATACTGATAACCATTTATAGTTAATATAAATATATTATAATGTAAGTAATTATAAAAATTTTAATACTTTTAAAAAAAATTATTTATTCATACAGATTAAAATCTAAAAATTACTAAGTATGCTTATTTCCTAAATCGTTCCAAGTTAATTTTATGGCGGTCTATTGTAACCGAAGATTTGATAGTTCGCGAATCACCACTGTGTCCCGTTTTGCTAGAATATCGACTATTTGAAGAGTGTTCTGTGAATTCATCTAAATATATAAGGGGAATAATGGAGGGTCTTATATTTGAAATTAGAAAACAAAAAATAAATATTCTTGATGGGAATTAACGGATATTGATAATAAACAATTAAGATTAGGTACCTCCCGTGCGCACATTGAAAGGGGAAATTGCACAAAGCAAGTTTTGCTATCAGTTCTTTACATTGTTGCAGTGTCAGTCGGTCATTAAACATGAGGGCACCTTGAAAAAAAAAAACAAGATTAATATGGCACCCTAATGAAAATAAACTTGACAAACTCAAAAATACCTCGACAAGCCTTTGAGTTGATGATGTCCAATATTCCCCTGGGACATTTGCTTATCATTTTCGTCCAATCTCTTCTTCCGTCATCTCCCAGACACATTTCAAACATACCCGCACCTTCCAACCAATACAAATATTGACGTATTATTTCTTGCGTTACTCGTGAATCAGACACACAACGATCAGCAATCATTCTAGGGACATGCGTCACATAAATATATGAATGATCATTGTCAAAACGTGATGATATTAGCGTCGAGATTGAGATACCGAGTTGTGTATTTTGTCTCGAATCGACTCTGTCGCTAAAAAAAATCCCCCAATTGTTAAAATTTGCTTCAAATTTCTTGACCACCTGCATTTCTCTAATAGTCAATATAATCTTAATTGGTGGTTTCGCTTGAATTGTTTCTACTAAAGAAGAAACTTCAGGCTGCGTTTGATATTTATTATTAAAGTCACAGAATTCTTTCATTAACGTCTCAACACGAACGCGTTCATCAGCTGCGTGTTGATCAACGAGAACCAATATATATTTCGTGTATTGTTTGCAGGCATCAAAATCTCGTTCTCTATCCTGAGAACAAGGTAATTTGCAAACAATAAACTTATTATCAAATTGACCAATGACCTCAGCTCTTGCGATGTCTTGTTTGTTGAATCGATGTCCCAAAACGCATGAACGCAACGCATCTTTCGACGCGAAAACGTTGTTTTTATATGCAGACTTGTCACCTGCGATTGCGTCTTGCAAACAAGGCATTGGAACCTCATCACATTTGAAAACAGGGTTGTTCCAACTCTATGAAATTAAACAATTGACAAGGTGCGACTAAAAATTTTTTTAAAAACTGTATGTTGCAACAATTACCTCGAAAGCCTCTTTAGCCCATAACGTCGCGTTTGTAGGTGCATTATTTGACGTTCGCAACCGACTTCGATCTATTCTTGCTGTCGTACCGACACTAGACGTGGATTGCTGAGGTAATTTTTTATAGCTTTGATTAACAGTAACATCACGTGTTAATGCGGAATATAATACTAGGAAGATAAGAGCCTGCCAAAATCACTCACGAATTTCCCGTGCGCAAATCCACGTAGAAATCACGTTTACTAGAAGAATCAGTCCACTGTGCATATTCATTTTCATTAATTTTAATGACGCTCGTTTCTCTGGTATTTTTTCTCGATAGACATTCGATACCCGCACATCTCTCATCAGCCTTGGGAACACTTGTGAAGGATGATCTACTCATGCCGCCTTTTAATTCTTCATCTAGAAATATATACTGATGTCGACCACCAATTTTGATATGTGTCAACTCTTCAAATGTTAAGGGCAAATCTTGATGGTTTCTTGTCCTAGACAATTTAGCAGATGGTGTTGAAGCAACGATGTGTGACGCCTGAGATTTAAACGCGTCTCCCGTTAAGAATCCGTGACGCACCAAAAACTGCGAGATCAGCTTAGACAAAAGATCCAAGATTTTTGGCCAGTTCTAAATTTTGCAGATCAGGTTAATGGATATAATGCGAACATATAAACATACATATGAAGGCATTTTTTTTTTGACGCCTACCTCAAACTCTATTACGTTTTTGGTTGGATCTAGAAAAAGATCGTAGTCGCTCGTTGGGCAAGTTAGATTAATGAGGAAAATAGGATGTTTATCAAAAATTCTTGTCTCGTTTTTCCCTGTACATTTTATAAAAATGACAATCTTTAGTCACCACGGTTCCAAACGATAAAGGAATCTACAAAAAGATCTTACTTGACTTGTTTGGATATGCGCATCCCAAATCCAAAGACATCTCATCGTGAAACTAGGGATATTTGATTAGTGATAATAAATCATTGAAAATTCATCGTAATAAAATCTAGCGACTCACTTTTTTTCCAAAATTACTTTTATTAAAATAATCCTCTGTTAATTTATAGAGTTCGTTGTGTGCAATAAAGTGTTTATTGACATCTATTCATATGAATGATTAAATAATGACACGCGTAACAATCGATGCCGGAAGTAAAAGAAAGGTAATATTCACAAAAATATTGATGAAGCTAAAAAAGGAATAAATAAAGTATGAATGTAAATAGATTAGATTACAATACGCAATATAAACCCAATACGAGTCAAATTTACCTTTGTGTGATATCCTTTTAGGGAGATAAATCCATCCAGTTTAACATGACCATCTTCGGCATAGACGGGTTCAAGATCCTAAAAAAAACAAATTATCACTCGATAACTACAGTAACTTAAAGATCCACATGCTAACCTGTGCTAGAAAGCCTCCAAAAAGTTGACGAAACGTGGAAATATTTGACGTTGTCTAGAGAAAATACATAACATTTAGATAGAAATTATTGAAGGTTTTTTTCGATTAAAAGATGAGTTATTTATGAGTACCTTTCTTGTGGTAATTATTTTGCTGTCTGTCGACGCGTCTACAAGAATAAAAGTAACTTGTGGGTGCATCAAAGCCGTTGTTTCAATCGCCCTTTTAACATTTTCTAG